ACATTAAATTTATTCCATCTAAGTTCTATTTCGTGTGCTGCAAGGCGTTTCGTGTTCTCATTAAAACAAAGTGGTATTGCCAAGTAGAAGGTTTTCTCAGATTTTAAAACAACATATAACTTTTGACTTACCGTCCACATGCATGGCTTGATTTACTCAGCAGTGTTACACCGGGTGTGATAGCGGTGAGATGGCGTGATGATAATTGACAAATCGCTTTTCGCGAATCAAATTCATCAAAAAATATGTATATATAATACCTTTCTTTAGTAAAGTCTGCAAATTTTGACTCTCATTGCTGTGAAATAAAAAACCTGGAACTACTATTTTTATGCCGCGGTCGTGTGATCCTCAAGTGTGGTATCACATGACAGTAACAACTAAGAAATGGCCACCTGCAGTCATTTTCAAATCATTGTGGGCATGTGCGGTCCTAGTGTTACGAATCCCGCACATGTTCAATGTGTTTTAATTCGAAAATGTGACAAAGACATTCGAGGTGATTTGAAGGCTATTGGTGTGAGCGATTCCTCTCTGGACGAAGCAAGGCTATTGTTGGCTAGAGCAGATCAGTGTATTCGTAATTGAATTTTCTCTTTAGATTGAAAATATTGCAAAAGATGATTGCGGAAATACTGAATGCTACGGTAACAGACAATCGCCATGAGGCCCAATAAGGTGTGATTTCATGATACGCGAAATCAAAATCTCATGGCACTCTTTCAATGTAGCTGACCGTGCAAAAGCGTAATAGTCTCTTGAGTTATATTGCGGCCCGACTATTTACAAGTTTCTCCCACAAAAATGATCCCAATACTAACCACGTGGAGAAGTGGGACTAGAAATTAAAGGTGGGGCAGGGGGGGAATACTTGTCGNATCACACATTTTGTTTCCAAGGTTGTTTTGACGTGGATGAAGGTATTTTGAACACAACAGTATGCCCTCGTCATCGGGACCTATGGGGGATAAAGTGGCGTTGCAACAAAAAGAACTGTTCCTGTCCAGAGCAATGGATACAACATGAGAAGAACCAGAAAGGGGATCGTGGGATAAATCTGGTTCAGCCGAGAAGACTCCACCTTCAGACGCAAATTTTGTTGCCTGTAGGCTCTCGTAAGTATATTGCCATGGGATGAGTGACTTCCAAAAAAACGCTTTGTTAGAGAAGGCCGGATTGAGCTGTCTTCTGTAAAACTGTTCAGTACTTTTAAAAAGTAAATAACCGATGATGGGTATACGTAGCCACTGAATGTAATCTCAAGGTAAATTACTTGTTGAACAGGAAACAATTCTAATAGCAGACTTAAACTATTCTTGTTTACTCAATTACATAATAACAGTGGATTTATTTACTCCTACACATTAGCCATATGCAAACAATGTCGAACAAGACTTAGTGGCCAAGGTCGGAAAAAGACGATGTGGTTTTGACAGTTCCTAAATCCCAAGACGAAATTCAGGGAACCGAGAAGCAAGAAGAGTCTATAGAGTGCCCAGGAACTACCTCCCCAAGGACAGGAGAACTTGATAAAGTAAGTTAAGAGAATTTAATAACAACATAGAGATTTCTTGGTCATTTGAGATCGGTCTTGAGGGAGGGAGTAGGTCAGCGGAAAGTACCCTTGACTGACCCTTTGACCTTGATCTTACAGAAATGAGATATTGTCACGATTTAGGGTAATCCATCCGCAGCCGAAGAAATCAATGAAAGGTTGCCATTTGAATATACAAGGAGCTTAACAAAGTACGAATGACATATCATTACAGCAGAGATCAAACAATTGGTCAAGTATTCATAAAAAGCGCGGTTTACCATGGCGACGCAAATTTGGAGAGACAAGCACATTGTTCTCCGAAATGTTTGGGGACAAATTTTATAGTGTATTCGTGAAATTTGGTTATGTTTTGAATCATTTTAAAAATTTCATAGGCTTTATTTCCCTACTGAGATCTCGCTCGCGGCCCTATGCGCAACAGAGCGCGAAGAAGATAGGTGAGGTGGAGATCTCGCTCCCCGCCTGCAAATGGTTTTAATCACTGCTTTGAGTATATTGCTGAGGACATGCAAAGTGTACAATTTGTTTTATAAACAAATTATATGTCTTTCCATCAGGAAGATGAGGAACTGTCTCAGTCAATGGCACAACCCCTTATTGAAGATGATGCGAGTTTTAACGTTCCAGAAGATACTAGTAGCAGTGGAGAGTCGTCAGATTCTGGGTACCAACGTAAACTAGGAGAACAGAGACCAAAGTTAAATGAATTTTTAAGTGTCTGTAATACAGGAATTACTGCAGGCGCGAACAAAAAAAGTGGCAGGACGCAAGTGTGCGCACCAGAATAAGTCACGTGCCAAAAGCCAGGGAATCTGTCGTAGCAGCACTTAATGTGATTGCACCCGGCGATGCAGGTCACTTATGGGAAGCGTTGAAGGCGTCTCAATCTGTGGAGAAAGCATTGGGAATCGCAGAGGAGTCTGACGTAGATAAAAAGTACTTGGAGGCCTTGGCTGAAACGTACAATAATGCATCGAGCTGGAGTACGCGCCGGCAAATTCTATCGATAATGGCAGACCTCACTACATTGGAGGGAATCCAAAGTTTTATACCAAGCGTCTCTGAATTTAAATTCACTATGGCCAGAAAGTGTAAAATCCAGTATGGTCGAGGTGTTCCACTACCCTTGCGGAAAAGTCCAAGAATGCGTGTGGACACTGATCAGCTGGACCATTTTCTGACGTTTATTGTCAGTCCTCATGTCATTCAAGATCTTCCTTTTGGGCAGCGTTACCTGCATCTTTCATCTGGTAAAGTTTTGGAAACGCCCGACGTAATACGCACCATGATCCCACGACGTATTGTAAAGTAATACGTACAATACTGTAAGAAAGCTAATTTTACGCCATTTGGATCATCCACCATGCTCCGCATTTTGTCTTGCTGCAGTGCGACTGTGAGGAAATCTTTGTAAGGGCTAGATTATATTGCAGTAGAGGGGGTCAAAGGATTTGATGAATTGCACGGTATTTTGGACGGTTTAGGAGAATGTGGTCTTAGAAGAGAAATGGTGAGCCATTATCAGAAATCGCTTAAGGAAGCAAAGCAGTACTTGAAGTCAGATTGTAAGGTACATTTCATGAAACTAATGATGAATGTGTATAAAAATAGAAATAATAGACAGCAGTGTGATTTCTTTTTCGTTTCTGAACATTATGACAAAGTTTTGCTTAAATACAGTGGAAAATCGATGTAACGAAGGACCAAGGGACTGGTAAAATATGTTCACTTTAACGAGGTTTCGTTATTTATTCTGTATGTTCACCTTTTTCTCCAGGTTCATGTTGTGGAATCCACAAACATTGCTGATCACTGCTGTACATATGCTCTAAGGGACAGTAAGGAGGATCCATTCAAAGGCACATGCAATCGTTCACACGACCAGTACTGCATGCAGTGCGAGATCTTGAAAGAGGTCCTTAAAAACGTTGAGACTTGTTTTGTGGACTGTGGTATAAACGGAGAGGAGCTTGACTATTTGACGTATTCTTGCCGTCAAGCGGTTGACTGTATTAAAACGTGGAAAGCACTTCAACTACGAAGTTGCAGACAAGACGAGGCTAGAACTTCCATTCTGGATAACCTCCATGAGAATTCTGTTCATATAACTCAGGATTGGGCCATGAAATTCCCACCACAGAAATATAGAGAGTCGCAATCAGATTGGTTCGCTGAGCGGAGAATTCATGGCACATAGGTGTAGTGGCACGGAAGGTCCAGGAGCATTTCCAACACCAGGTATTTATCCATATTGTTGAGAACGGTAAACAAGACAGTTTTACTGTCGTGCGGATCGCAGAACACACTTTATGCACGCTGAAGAACGAGCATCCCGAGCTGACAACTACTTTCCTCCGCCAAGACAAGGCTGGTTGTTACCATTCTGCGGAAATGTTGGCGAGCTGTGCCCAAATGAAAGCCATAACAGGAATTGCAGTACAAAGGGTCGACTTCAGTGATCCCCAGGGAGGAAAAAGTTCTTGTGATAGAAAAGCTGCAACTGTCAAAGCCCATGTAAGGAGATACATCAACGAGGGTCATGATGTACTGAACGCTAATGACTTTATGAAAGCCATCCTTTCTAATGGTGGAATACCAAATGTTAGAGTGGTTGTTGTTGATGCCTCTACTACCGAAAGAAATGCTCAAGTTCCAGTGAAGTGGGTTGGCATAAACTCTTTAAACAATTTTCTGTTTTCTGATAATGTCATCACTGTTTGGCGAGCTTTTGACGTTGGCGAGGGGAAGAAGGCAATAGGTATGTAAAACGCGTTCCGTCTAATCAAGGGGGCAAGTTTTCCCTATCGTTCAGTAACGTTTTATAAATGAATAGCAAATGGGAGTCGCCGTACGGGTCGGGGTGCCGTACGAATAACCACTGCGTTAAATTTAACGATACCTGGATATTGAACATTCGGCAAAAGTTGGATGTTTCCGTTGAAATCACTTTTCTTCAGGGCATATGGGTCGAAACCACAAACAGCAACTTTTTCCCTCTATCTTGATTCGGCTGGGCTATCCAGACCTGCAAAATTATCCAAAAGTGAATGTATTGCTCTAGCACGCTTTGGCACTCTGCTATTTTCAACGCTTGGTTATCTCCCAACATGGTGGTCGTGTGTGACGTAACGATTTTTGATAAGGTATTGTTCGCGTCACCGTCCGAACTAAAATTCAAACCCGCGACGTTCGAGTGTAGACTGGGCTAAACTTAACACCAACTGAAAAGGAAAGAGGTGGGAGGAGCGACAGATGGAAAAATAAATAAAACATGCAGCAAGCAGTTCTCTACACTTATGCTTGGTAATCTTCACCGGTTATACAAAGTGAAG